TGAGGAAATGTGGACTCTCCCTCTTGTATAGGGTATTACAGGTGCTGGAACATCCACTGTTTCACAACAGCAGCTTCTGATAAGATACAGAATAAACTCATCCAAGTTAAGAAGAACGATGTTACAGTGCTTATACGTCTGTCTATACTTGAGGGATTATGGCAATGGTAGCCTTACCAGATTTTCAAAGCAAGTAGCTTACTCATGTTCTGGGTGTAACTTCATTTAATCCAGAATTTATGAGTTTTCTTGGTGGTCCAGCATCTGAAAGGCCTAGTGTGTAATCCACCTGATATCTAAGGGGTGCTGCTCTTTGAAGCTACTTTTGTTTGTCTTTGTAAAATTCATGTGAATGTTACTGTAAGTGCAGTCAGCTACTCAGATGGGTGTTGGGGTCTTTCCTTAATGGAAAAGAGCAAAACTAGAGAGAAAGACTAACATTAATATAATGTTTGTATCTGTGCTGTGTGATTATTGGAGCCAAAATTTGCAGATTTGAGGACATTCTATGTTTCAGGGTTTATCCAAGTGGCTGTGCAAACCTGGGGGACTTTGTGTATAAATTATGAAAATAATAATAATAATAAATAACCTGACATCAGACAAGATGGTCCTTCTCTAACTTCGACCTTTTTCTGGAAGACTGAAGTCATCTAAATTCAGGTGGCTACAGATACTTTGCCCACATTGAGGCTCCAGACTTTAATTTTTATGGTGGATGTTATGAAATGCTATGAAAAATTCTGATGTGAACTGGCTTATCTCAGCCGCTGTCTGTCCTGCTGGATGACCTGTCCGGGACACAGTAAACCACAGGTGCTCATTGCAAAAGGGAAGGGAGCATTCCTAATCCAAAGCCGGTGGTATCTCTAGAACAAAGGGCTGTCAGAGAGTGGGAAGCAGAGAGGCCTTGCTTTTTTCTGTAATGATATTTTGGGGCTCTGAGAAGTGTCATACAGTTCTTGTGTGATTGACCGTGCCCTGGGAGAGGCATTGCTGGAAAAAAAACCCAAATTTCTCAGGACTGGGGGGAAGGGGAGAGGGGAAGACTGAAAAATGGGCTGCCTGACCACCAGGTCTTGTCCAGAGGCCATCCTAATACAGCTTAGTCGTGCGTGTGTGTGTGTGTGCACGGCTTTTCTGTGCTGGCAGCAGTCTGAGAAGCATAGCGTTCATCCTTGTGAAAATACTGTGTCTGGGAATTGATGGAACTATTACAGCAAAAGCAAAGCACTGTGTTGCTGATACAAGCTGCATCTCTACAAGGAGATTTAGCAGGTATGGTTAGTCTAGGAAAGTGACTTCAGTGTTACTCATCAAAAAGCAACTATGTCAATTCATGAGTACAAGAAATAATTGGCTCAAATGATAACGCCCGAGTTCAATGTCTGGCTTAAGCAACAGGAAAAAAAAACCTAAACACAGAAATCTTCAAGAAGTCAACAGATGCTAAGAAAATGTGTACAGCTTGTGCTGAAAACATGGGAATCATGATAAAACTGATAACTTGAGGATAAAATAATGGTTTGCTGCTCAGAGCTGCTTGAGGATTAAGGGAAAATACCTTCATTAACAGCCTGCTCTTATCAACCTAGAAAGCAGGGAAATGGCAAAAACCTTGCTGTTGGCCTATTAGAAAGTTTTACCTTTTATGAGGAAAAGTATATGATAAATCTATCTTTTTGACCAAATATAGCAAAATAATGTATTTTAAATGTTTAGTATTTTAAAATATTTAATATTTTAAATTGTTCATAACAATGAAATGATTTTTGCTAACTGTTTGGGTAGTTTGAAGCTGAAGTTTGCTCTCAAATTATGATGTGTTATAAAATGTTTTAGACAACATTTTCATTTGTATTTATAGTTCCTGCATGAAATGTGTTTTGATGCGTAAACCTGATGAATTACCATAGTTTCTGAATCTGTTTGTAGGATATTTTTGCCCTTCCCTTTGACAAAGTAAGGAAATAAGTGAATAAGGGGTACTTGTGTCTCTAAAGCACTGTCTTGAGGCCTGCAGGGATGGCACTGTCTGTTTTTCAGGGTTGGCTATGTCTCATCATCAACTTCCCAGCTGGTGTAATAACAGCCTTTACCCCCAGATGCAGAGCTGGTAAGCTGTATATTTTGTTTCAACAAAATAACACCAATACTGGGAATAGAGTTACTTTATTGATTGGATTTTCAATAACAAAATACTGAACCATGTAAAGAAATGAAGGATTCCTTGTGAATCAAGGTTTTACATCTGAGTCTGCGGAAAAGCTCTGTTATGCTGGCGAGTTCCTGGTTTTACAAGGTGATTAGCTGAACCTTTCAAAAGAAGAGAAGATCAGTGCTGCTGTTCCCAGTTGTGGATACAGCGGAACTCCACCCTGGGATAGCAGCTGACAGGTCTGCTGCTTATACTGAGAATGTGTC